GAGAGCGTACTCGTCCGGCAGGAGCTGTGTTTCGGAGCGGTGACGGTCTGCCGCGTAGGCAAGAAGCTGCCCGCTCGGCCGAGTTCGCAATTACTCTTCCGTGACTAGCCATGCCGTTCCCGACAGCAATGGCTCAGCAACGGGGGCGGCCTTGTGTATGCCCATGTATCTTGCACATCCCACCGTCTCTACTCCGTTCGGGCCTCTGTCGATCTTAATCAATGCGCCCCTGCTCTGCCGATTGATTCCGAATGCTGAGGCAGTCGCCCCCAACCGGCTCAGCTCTCCTTTCTCCTCAGACATCGAAAGCAGACTATAGGCCAATACGGCTAGGAACGCTGGGCAAGATGGGCTGTGATCCCCTTCAGGATGAAGCCAGGAGATGCTGTAAGTGCCGAGGGGCTGAGACCTGCTGCGACTCAGGTCATCTCCCGGCAGGACTCGCTGGCACCTCATCTCGGTGGGGGCCCAAGGAACGCTCACGTTGTCCCGCTGAGTTGGAGCACAGCGGTTTTTTGACGCGAACTCGAGCCTGTTCTCTTCGCTCCTCGACAGAAGGCAAAGGCTGCAGGGGATTTGATAAGTGAGCTTGCCTTCAGTCCTGACGCCCGTCATACCGAGCACAATCACCCAGCTTTCGGGGGCCCCGTCTGTTGACACAGTACTGTACTGTAAGAGACTGAATTGTTGACCGGCTGAACCTCGGCCAGCTCGCGATTGATAATTCCTACGTCTCTCAACAACTGGCCTTCCATCTACATAGAAAGTCCTTGAGTTGTTCGAGGCGTTCCAGCGTGAGTCGCCCGTCATTCACAAGCTGTAGCATGGACGCTGGCCACCTTCTCTTGTCGAGAGAATCTACCGAACCTGCATCTTAAGCCAGACACTTGCGGCCGCCGAACGATCCTCCTGTCCACCTACTTCCCGCCCGTCGATAGGGAGTATGACCCTGGACAAGGCGGAGTAGGTCGCAAACACGAATATCTATCCGACAAATCGCAAGCCATGCGCGATATTAGACTTTCGAGGCCCTGGCGACTTGGAGGAAATCCCATGGCCCCAGTCTCAGTCTCGGGCTCTGCTCCAATCTCCCCAAGCTACAGATTGACCGTCCCGGTCTGGCTCGACGAAGAGGTCGACGTGCCATTCTGATCCATCAATCCATGCCCAGTCGCTAGACGCCGCGAAAGTACAACTAGCGACTTCCGTCTACTGCAACGAAAGCTCTCGTGGGTCATGTGGCCTGCATACCGCGTGCACCTTTGCCTGCAGGTTTTGAGATTCTGATCTGAGCCGCGGCATCCTGAATTCTTTCCCCAAGAAGCATAACGTCCGCAACACCTTCGCACCATGTGAGAGCGTATACTTCAGCGACGCCTCGCATGATGGAGTTTACGAGTCTCGACGGCGCCTCGGCGCCTCGGCCTGGATTGAGAGATCAGATACCAGGACAAGTTCTGCTGTGTGTAGACGACAGGGGGAGCGTGCCTCGTCAAAGGGGCAATGGAGGTCCTCGGATTGATGTGCTCAAGCCTAACGGCGCAATACGAGATCTCAGGTCGACCGGGCGCGGATCGAAGCTATAATGCGTTCGTCGAGAGGAATTGTTCTCAAGAGAAGAGAATTGTTCTCGCGCGACCAGTAAGATCACGGCAAAGTACATACAGTGAGGACCTGGGGAGTGAGTGTCTCGTTTCTATGCCCTGACATTCAGGAACAACTAGGAAGTGTTCCGAGGTGCTTAAACGAGGTGAAATACAGTGTGAGTGCACCCCTGGTGTCCGGTCCCCGAGATGAGGAGAGCCATGGTGTGTCCTGTAAGGGTATCTCAGGGTGAATACAAATCGACATGAGTACTATGTCGACCCAGATAGGCATCGTGGCTTGATGGCGAACTTGAGAAGGGAACTAACCAGTGGTCAATGCCCGTGAAGCAGATTGTGCTCGACGCGGTGTGATTGGATGCCGTGTCATGCTCTGCACAAAGAGACGGAACCAGACGATCGTGCAGCTGGACTATCTCTATACTGCTGTTGAGCAATCGACAGCGACCGGAGCACCGCTCCGCCGAGTAATGATATGCGAACTCGGCTGGTCCCAGGGTCGCTCACATGATAGCCCCGCCCCCGCTGTCGTCCTCTCCGTCACATGAGGCGCGCCACATGATCCACGCGAACGTTCCACAGACTTGCTCCTTCGAATTTCCCGCCGACGAACCCCTGGCACACGTCGAGTACTTGCATCCAATCCGCCGCTGACCAGAGGTTGCATCCCTCACTCGAGGACATCCGAGGCATGCGCTACGGAGTTCACCGACCACGTCGATGAAGTGGAAGTGGACTCCGGTCACGCGCCTGAATTTCGCTCTGTCTGACCTGCTGCAGGTAGCATTGAGTGGCTGCTCCGCGGTGGTACGCATGTCCCGACCAGTACCTTGACCAAGCAAACCGCTCATCTCAGACAGAAAGATCACCGTCACGGCCTTGCCGCAAACGCTTGTATTTGCTGCTGGTGGATCTCCGGGGATCGGTGGCTGACAGTCGGCACAGCTGTATCTCGACCGACATTATCGCTCGCCACAGGACACGGCGAAGACAAGAAGTTGTATCTGCTGGCGGGCCGGTCGCTAGGCCTGGTCACACCCGGTTCCCGGAGTGAACGGCGGTCTCGTCTGCTTGCCATTACCTCGGCCATGTAAGCCATTTATTGATACACGTTCTGTAGTTGCGCTTCTCGAGTGAAGCACTCGATCGATGGTGGGGATACCTTGCGTTCAATAGTATCAGATACGGAAGATACTGTAGGAAGCTCCCAGTCGAGAATATCCTCCGTATCTCGAGACTCCTCCCGCTCAATGTCTTCAAGGCGTGAAAGCTTGACCGGGCGCGGCGCCCGAGCCATTGGAGATCAGGAGTAGGGGAAAGGCCAAAGCATTGCTTCCGCGCTCGGGAGTTAGGGCAATGGGGTCTTCCTGGGAGGCTGTGCTTGTGTCAGCCTTGAATCGACCGCGTTCGCAGGTCGTTCATGGTCATGTCGTTGCGCAAGTCGACAGATAGTATGATCTCCTCGGTCTGCCCATCGGCAGTGTATCTCGACGAGAAGACCATGATGAGCCCGAGTCACCTTGGCGTCTGACTACCTACTATATGTACACCCGACCAGTGTCATGGCGTGTAACAACGACCCAATCAGAGACTGATTGCTCGATGGGAGGCAACGAAGGCGAGGATGCAAGCCAGATATGTGACAAAGGCGAGCCAGGAAACAAATCATGGAGCGAAGGGGGGGACGCAAGAGAGCAGAAGTAGGAAAATACGAAAGTAGGAAAAGGCTGGACGATGAAAGGGAATGGAAAAGCTAGAGGCAAAGTGAGTAAAAGAGTGAAGAGACGCCCCTCGTGAACACCCGGGGGCGTGGACACGGTGATGACAGGACTTGTTCACATGGGGAGACTACAGATGTCATGGGCCTCCACTCGGTGTACCAGACCCGTGCCAGTGTTAGAAGGCGCACGGGGATTGGGACACCGTGCACCGCACGGGGATTGGCACACCGTGCACCGCACGGGGATTGGGACATCGTGCACCGCACGGGGAGTGAGACACCGTGCACCGCACGGGAAAGAGCTGTACGCTGTGCATAGTACATAAACTGGTTGGTTAGCGCTTCTTGCCCATGCAACTGCCTCCCGGATATCACTTACAGCCAGGAGGATCGGTTCGCCCGTGAGCGTTTGTTAGTGATGCTTAGAGATGCGCTTCCTCGCTTTGCGGGTCCCTTCGTACGGAGTCACCAGATCGCCGCTCTCCACGGATGTCCAGCACTCACCTGAACGATATCGAGTCAGACCTTGTTCGGCGCCTATCTGCAGATTGGGGAGTCCACTCAGTCCTGAATGCTCGGCGTAGTCTCCAGTCCGGCAGTTACTCCCTTGTGTCTTCGTGTCCACCGTTGTGCGCATGACGCAATCGTGCCGCGACAATTGAAATTCTCTTGCTCACCTCCCCGATTCGCAGATTTGGTACTTGGTGGCTACCTCGTCTCTGCTCCTGGTAGTATTGGCGAAGCTTGCTGGTCACGGAGTATGTATTTGCATGTCATCCTCGGACGCTCAAATCCAAGACTGTTCACGTGCACAGAAGCACGCGCTGTATCGGCGTAGATAATGACTAGAGAGATTGCATGGTGCATACGACGAGGACCTTCGGCGTGGAGTTACTAGGTGCCGTAGGCGTACTAGACGTGCGTCGGCACATACCGTAGGTACTCCGTGTAGAATGTCCGGCTAAGACAGGTCTAACGTTTTCTCGTCACAGCCGAGACGTGGTTGAGGCGTAAAGCACACTCCGGATCTGCTCTGCTCCGTCACGCGATCCCACTCGACAAGCCCTTGCGTACCACAGCGCAAGCTCCCGGCTCTCGCTCGCGAGATCCAACCCCGGCGCAAGCCCCATTCTCTCGATGTGCCCAGCCATGGCCGAGCGGCTCACCCATTCCCCAAAGACTCAGCGAGTAACACAACTTATGCCCCTTAGAGCGCCTCCAACAAGCTTTCTGCATAACCATGCCAGAGACACTGCCATACTTCTTGACGTCCTCTAACCATCATCAAGCATTTCCCCCAATCGCACCACCTCGTGCCTCGCGACGCGTCCTTCATGCTGACCGGAAGATACGCCTCGCGCCGACCAATGACAGCGCAGACATCCAGAAACAGAGCGTCATATCGTCATCCTCGGCTGCCCACACTGCTGCGGACCGAAGGCAGTCTGCGGAGTGGTCCAGCCATCATGTGGAGATGCCAGCACATCATTGCTCCAGATGCCACACTCTTCCTCTGAATGGCAGCCACGCTCTCTCCGATTATCCAGTCTATCTCCATCCACACATTCTAAATCCAAGTCCAGACCAGGAAGGGCGTCCCGAGGCAGAGAAACAGCAGGCAGCAAAAACAAGTACTAATACTTATTCCCTGCGAGTGAGGCCACTGGCAAAAGATATGGTCTCTGACGGGCTCGAACCGCCGACCGCGGCATACAACTAACATCCAGACTCGGGAAATATTAGTACCGTGCGCTACCGACTGCGCCAAGAGACCACTCCTGATGTTGTACAAAGTCTGGGGAGTTGTTTGGTATAAGAATCAAGTGTTTTGATGGGCAAGAAGGGGATGTACGGACGTTCCAAGTCGCGGTGAACAAGACGAGGGTCGACGTGCCACACGGCGGCGGTTGCCGCTTCAACGCGGTGCCTGGTGGTCACGCGACAAGCCCCGAAGAGCTTTGGGAAGCCAAGCAATGACTGGGAGAGGTAGGGGAGGCAAAGAAGAGTTCCGGACGGCGGGTCGGGGAGAAGAGTAGGTGTCGTCGCCGAAGGCGCCATTACGGTGCTGTTTCCCCGGAAGTCCGTGGTGCTGATCAGCCTAGCATGAGGTCCTGACGCAGGCATGTCTCTCCGCCTGCCCGTATGTGCATACAGGAGAAGAAAGCGGCTCATGTAGTACCCCAGAGAATCAGCCTCGCGGGAACAATAGAGAATGTGAGAGGTGCCACAGTACGGTGTGGCATAATTTGATCCCGTCTATCCCGTGGCATCAGGCCTTGTGTGGCATTTCTTCGGTTGGTATTCAATCTCGCGGTCGATGCTTTCTGAAGCATTTATCTTGACTATTTGACGCTATTAGGATCTTAGATGCCTCGGCAGTCCGTGGCGTGGCAAGCTCGAAGCCCCTGAGAATGACGAGAGGGGTCACATCAACGAGTGGAGAGACGGTAATGATGGGAAGCTGGCCGGGGATATCTGGGACAGGGGAAGGAGGGTCATCGCGACTGCGGGCTTCCTGGCCGCTGTTCATCGCCTTCAGGAGAAGCACCTGTAGCTGCCGGGATCGCGCGCGACTCGAGATAAGCCACAGACGCGAGGGGGGGTGAATTTTGATTCCGTTTGGTCGCATGTTTCCGTGTGGCGTTTCTTCTCTCGAAATCCATACCCTCAAGTCATCCTTTCCTCCCTCGTGTCCTTCAGACTTTATCATGGATGCCTACCGGGCTCAAATACGGTTGGCTAGCTCAGTTGGTTAGAGCATTCGCTTAACATTTATGCTTCGCGAAAGGTCCGCGGTTCGACCCCGTGGTCGATCAAGTGGAAGAACACCTTGGAAAGGTGGAATTCCTTTTTGAATGGGTGAATCGGCGTTGATCTCTGCCTTTCTCTCGCCATGTCTTCGTGCGAAGCGAGCCGGGATATGCGCATACGATACGCCGAACAAATAGAGCTTCAGCGAAGAAAGGAACGGAAACCCCCGGGCTTCAACAACGCCAGGGGGATATGCGCCGGTCTTTGCACGAGCTTGCGGAGTCGATCTAGTCTGGCCACCGGGTAATTGAGGTCACGACCGGGCGAGATATGACGCGGTCATCGACCGGAAATCTACGGAATACTCAGTGGCGAGGGACCCCCCATCCGCATCAGTTCTCAGTCATGTGGGTATCTGCAAGGCCGTAAGGAGGGTCCAAGCCTGGTCGTCTCGTTCGGTCTTTGTTGGGTGGCGCGGCCACGACCAAACAACTTCACCACATAGTGAGAACGCCCGACTTCACGCAGGCAGCCCTCTCGCAACGGCCACAGGGTCGACAGCGTTCGATGAAGCGAACAAGCAACGGAGCAATTACTCCGTGATGGACTGAGGTGAACCGGTCACGGCCCACCAGAGCAGCCACAGAGGCAATGATGATTTTGGGTCGCTCGGGTAGACTGCAGTGCTAGATGCTATACTTTCCTGCGTTGCGTAATCTTCTGAGGAGCTCGCCGTCGAAAGAGAGCGTTCCAACCCGACGCTGCAGACGTCGATATTCATCCTCAACGTCCACATCGAACGGCGTCCCACTGCCACATATGCCGCGAGCTCACCGCATGACTGAAAACGCGAATGCCAAGCGCTTCGTGAGATGTTGAAACGCCTTGATCATACAGTAAGTCATTTCCCGGACGAAGTATCTCTATGCTTGGATGGCTAGCAATGGGTTCATCGGTCCGGGTCATCCAACAGACCAAAGTGAGAGGTCGTGGGACGACCACCCGCTACCGAGAATCCTTGCTCAGTTGGTTTGAGCATCTTGCTTGGGGAATCCTAGCTCGGTGTTCGAGCATCCTGATCGGGGATCCGGACAACCGCGGCGTTAAGCCCGCTGGGGCAAGTTTCCCACGGTGGTGGTTTGGCGTAGTCGGTAGCGCAGACTTGTTTCCGGACAACCGCGGCGATATCTCCTCTCGACAAGTTTCCCACGGTGAGGAGCAGCCCGGTTCTCCCTGTTGCCACATACGAAACGCCGGACACATGTTTGCCACAACGCAAAATGCCGAAATCCCGTAATGCCGTAGCCGAGGACGCGACCGCCGCTCTGCGAGGGATAAATTTCGAGATCCCGACATCTTCTTGTTCTCTATCGACGATACTTTGCAGGTGAGTACCCGTATACATTTGGCCCTCCCCCTTCTCTGCCCTTACTCCTCGTCGACTCCAGAGCGGCTCGCTGACATGCATCGTAGGATTTCTGTATAGTAAACGTCCTTTTTCGCTAGTCTACACTAGCCACATTTTCCACGTCGAGTTGATGATCCAGTCCCCGCCCGGCTCTTTCACAGAGGCATTTGGCGACCCGTCCCTCAGGATGGGACGCCATCGAGGAAGCTGGCGGTGTCGTGCCGAGCTCGACCTTTGGGAAGAGCGAGGTCGACCCGCGGGCTCGGGCGGGCTCTCTGATCGACGTTTCCGTACCCCTCATGTTTATAGATGGTGAGCATGCAGTTTCTTCTCTGCCCACGTCGTGCTCCTTTGCGGATGACCAGAGTGCATTTGGCTTGAGGGCGCTTCGGCGCCGCTGCTGAAAAAACCTCGCTACCTTACTATTTCTTTCTGAAACGTTCCATCCCCGTCTACGCCTCTTGAAAATTTTCGAGCGGTCGCTGACGACACAGTTGGTCCTTGCATGAATTCACATCACTGCGCGTCGTCTCGAGCATTCCGAGTTGTGTCGGGGTCACGCGACTCACCGCGCACGCGACTTTTGCGACGGCGGTCAACTCATCGTGCAGGTCATCATTCCCCCGGCCTTCACTATAGCGTGGCGAGCAGGAGCTCAATGCTAATGACTCGATGATATCGGGGTTCACAGCCGAATTATCAGGTGTACTCCCTCTCCGCCTTCCTCTCCCGGCACCCGCTTGCCAAACATACCGCCGCTCCCTCGGTTCATCACGCCGACGATTCAAGACAATTCGCTACCCGCCTCCTCTTCCAACAATGGCTGTCATGCCGACGTCTGACTGCTCGCCGTCTCTACCACTGCTGCTGCGGACATTGCTGGGGTCGCCTGGCGTGGCAACGAAGAGGACACCGCACGACCAGCACCGCTCTCTATCCCCCCTGTACCTTGTTCCCCCTTGCCACAGCTCCCGTTGAGTGTATCGTAGCTCTCGTTCCATAGCGCATCGAATGCATCTCTCCTCGCGTCCCGCTGTCTTCTGCACAACCTGGCTGAAGCCACTGTCCACCTCCGTGGCTAGCTCGCCATGAGCACCGCGCTCGGCGTTAGCCCGTTCTCCTTCAGACTCTTCTTCATGTCCTCGCGGGAGTACGTCTTGCTGAGCAGGCGTCAGAATGTGATCACGACGATGCGGCGTGGTTGCTCACCGGGGGAATGTCGAAGCAAATGTGACGGTATCGACGTTGTACGCGAGCGACTCCGAGGCGACCCACTCGGCGACGTCGACGAGAGCTGAGCGTTAGCATGGCGCGACGTCGAGCCACCTACTCGAGTCCGACGCAAACGTCTTGGTCAATGGGGGTCCTCCCGCGCTCAGCCGAATCTGCCGTCAGCACGTCCCGGGAGCCGCACCCACCTGCAGCCTCGTTTCGGGATTCTCTGAGCTCTTGACCGCAGCCACGGGCTTTGACGGCCATGAGTTCGCACTGGAAGTCGTCGGCGGCAGGGTGGCTCCCTCTCTGGCGGCTTTTTCCCGTGCAGCCTTCTCCGCTCGCTCGCGCTTGTCCGCCTGCTCGTCAGCAGGCGACACGGCTTACAATTCACCTCGATCTGCGCCTTGATCGCTGCTCGCGCCTTCTGGTCCTCGATCTTCTCTGAATCGGTCAGCTCTGGTCTACTCATAACGCCCACCTCTCCGCTTCCGCTCCGCCTCCTTGTTGATCTCCTTGAGCTGCAGATCCTCCTTGATCTTCCCCGCGTCCTGACCGGCCTTTCGTCGAAGAGCCTGTGCGCGTCAGCCAGCAGCTCGGGCGGAGAATGATGCGGATCTGTCGACTCGCCTCGTTTGCCCTTGCCGACTTCTCGTCCTCCTTCGACTGCACCGCCCGCTTCGCCGCGAGCTTCTCCCTCAGCTCGGCGAGCTTGGCTTTCTTCTCCTCCTCGGTCAGGGGCTTGATCTGGGTGGTGGTCAGCGAAGTGTCACTGGCCAAGATCTTGCCGCTACACATCGTGCGCCAGTGACCGGGCTCACCTCTTCCGTCGACTCTTCGAACTCTTGGTGGCCGGACCTCTCCGCGTGGAAGCTCGCCGTCGCCTGCGATCGGAACACCTTGCCGCATTCGCTGCACTTGATGGACTGAACGATCAGCAAGAGTGCGGCGGGCACGACCAGGCGCCATCGACATGCGAGCCTGGGTCACGTCGCAACCCACCTTTGCGATCTGCTCGTCTGACGCGCCAGTCTTCTTGATGTGCGCGGCAAGCGCCTCTGCGTCATCGTCATCGTCGACGGCGTCGGCGTTCTGCTCCTCGGCGGTCGGCACGGGCTTCTCCGAGTTCTCAAGGACGTGGTCCATTGCGGGCTGCACTGGGTTAGCGGCTTTGCACACGACCTGGCCGGCTCACCTGCAGTCCCGAGTTCTTGGTCGCCTTGAGCGCCCCTGTGCCGTCAGGACGAGCTGCAAAGGCGTGAGGTCGGACTCACAATCTATCCGGGCTGGGTCGAAGCCCATAGCGAGGAGCTGTTCCTTGTCGGAGGACATGGCGATGCGAGTGAGAGTGGAGAGTGAAGAGTGCTGTTGAGATGGAAGTGAAGGGGTAGTTGAACTGCCGAAAGACAGGGGTAGCGCTGACGCACCTCCACGCGACCAACTCTCCCACGGTGTGCGCCGTCGACGGTCATGGCGTGCCTGAGGGTGCACTCGGTCAGAAAGTCGAAGCAAGGCAACAGTCGCTGCATTGCATTTCCATGATCAGATCGTGCAGGACCAGGACGACGCTCGGTCGATCGCACCCAGATCTTGGCGCTCCTTTCCTCCACACCCGTCACGGCGCGAGGCTCCTCATGAGCGCCTCGCAAGATCCACCCAAGCCTACAGGGCTGGTCATGCAGATCATCCTCCGCCGCGACCTTCTCACCGTGAGTGCGGCGTCGTTCACCAGTCTCGGTCTCGGCCATGTCACTCCTCATTGTCTGAACATCAGGCCATTCGCTAACACCCCACGCAGGAGCTCAAGTGGCCCGTCGGACCTTTGCTCGCGCAGTCCGCTCACGCCTCCACGGCCGTGCTGCATTTGCATCGCGATCACCCGGACGTGCAGAGGTATTTCCACGGTGAGGATGGTCGGGGATGGGAAGTCATGCGCAAGGTCACCTACGAGGTGAGCTGCTACCAAGCGATTTCCCGACCTAGGTTGTGTGCCGCGAGTGTCCCGCAAACTGGTGCTGATCAAGACGCAGGTTCCAAACGAGGAAGCGCTGCGGAGCCTCGCTACGAAGCTGGATGAGATGGCGCCAAAAATCCCTTACCACCTCTGGATCGAGCAGCCGTGAGTACCGAGAGTGCGCTGGTGTCAGGCTATAATCACGCTCCGTGAGCCTACGGCTCGCTGGTGCAGGCTGACGACGAGGTAGAGAGAACGTGCCGACGGCGCTGGCGCTGGTTCCGAACAAACGCCCAAAGGCGCTCAAGAAGGCAATGGACGAGGCGGGATGCCAGCTGTTCAGATGAGGGATGGGACGCAAAGGCCTTGCCGGTGTTACTGGCGGCGCCCTGCTCAGTTGGACATCTCAGGCGGCGAGGCGCCACGACAAGGCTGCTGGCGAGCCAATGTCCTCGTCGGTTGTGCTCTGCTCTCGGAGGGCTCCGCCGTGTGCTGACATCGCTCGTCGCAGCCGGAACCACGTCGGTCGGCCGTCTCTTCACGGGCTGAGCAAGGCTGTACTCGGTGGCCAATGTCCTCAGCCATTGGCCGGGTCACACAGAAGGCACCGGCCACTACGGGCCGCGCATCTTGTGTGCTAGTCCCGTTCGTAGCGGTAGCACGATGCACATGCTCGGTGGGCCGTCATCCCTCGGATCCAACCACCAGACCTTGCTGAGCGTACAAGTCTACCCGCGCACTTCGACGCATTGGTGAGTTTCGCTGGTGCCACCTTGCACCGCCTTGGACGACAACACGCCTCGGCACGTTTCGTCAAGCCCGTAGCTCCTAGCGGGATCAGCATCGACACGCTAGCCTCATACCTGGGGAGGAGGGGAGTATCCTACGTAGCAGCAAGCTCGTCGTCGCTGCCATGCACACTATAGACCTGTTCGTGGCACGCGCGCAGTCTGGGGTGTCTGAGACACGGCAGTCGAAAGGGAACTCAAGCCAAACCTGCGTACTGTGCAGTCTGGAGTCGTGCGAGTCGCTAGCCTGTGTCCTTTACGCCCTGCTCAACAAATAGGACTCCTTCATTGACATTATAGAACGGACGCCAGTGACATTGGCGTTCGACTGCTCACGCAACCGGGAGAAAAACCCACCTGGTCATATACCGCAGACAACGCATGACTTTCATCAAGCCAACAAGGGGACATCCTCTAGTGGTAAGAGGCGATCTTAGCAGTCTTACCTGATCTGGTCGCAACCGGCGTTCGATTCGCCGTGTCTCCATTTTTGTCGTTCACCCTATCTGTGCGTGGGTTGTTTGGTCTTTCATTTTTGTTGAACGCTTGAACCGGCTTGGTGCTTGACGATGGAGATGGACCGCAAAGTGTCCGCGCGCGAGTCATTACTCTCTGGGGCGACGGCATGATCGTCTCTGACTCCCCTCACAGAAGGGTGAACCGCTGAAGAATGGTCGACGCTGAGGGCCCCGCAACGTGACCGCGTGGTGCGTCATGGCAAGATTGTTAGTCGTAGTCGTATTTTGGCGCACATCTACCTCTGTAACCGCCCAACCATCTCGTCTTCGCCTGTACCCTCCACTTGGCAGAGAGGTCCTCAGTGACTACCCAAGCCGACGCCATGTCGTTCCTTCGCCTGCTGTCCCCCCGACCCGCCGAGTCCTCGTCGTCCCGCACCGCCGCCTCTCCGATTACCCTCGCGCTGCATGTCCCCTCCTACGGCGCCATCTACCTGAGCAGCAACCCGGACCCTCTGCACGAGCGCCCTACTCCTGGCGACGCCACTGCTCCCACTGACGATGTGCCGCTCAGAGGGGAGCTGGAGGTGGTCGTGCCGGACAAGCTCGGTCGGCGGCGATGCAGGGCGATTACAGTTGGTATGAAAACTGTGTCCCGCCTGGATCTCGGAGCGGGGAGAATGGGCGAGGAGGACACGATATTCGAGAGGAAGGTGGAGATCATCGCAGGGGACGCGGATGGGATATGGCTGGAGCCGGGAAGGCAGCCGTGAGTGGGTCGAGAGCGGGTCGTGGACGTGGACTGAGAACACTTTGCAGATTCGCATTCACCATCATCCTCCCTCAGTCACTCGCGCTGCATGACTGGCACCCCAACGCGCGAGTCACGCACACGCTCTACGCCGAGCTGGTCGGGGAACAGCTCCCCACGCGATCCGCCCGTTCGCGACCGTCCTCCCGACCGGGTTCTCGAGCGAATAGCAAGCCTGGCTCCCGTTCCGGTTCCCCCTCCCTCCGACCGTCACGGGTTGTTTCTGCTGCTCACTCCCGCTCGGGATCTCCGCGGTCCTCATCACCAGTGCGCGGTATGCCAGGCCTAGCAGACAATCTCGAGTCGTTGAGCATTACGCGACAGGAACTGCCCCGGGCGCCGCCGTATGAGCTTGCCAAAGCCGGCATCTTCCCCCCGACTGCACAGGACGATTGGGTGAAAGGCACGATCGAGGCGAACCGAATCTTGATGTGCATCTGGAATCCCAATCCGTCGGGAGGTATCACCGCGCTCGACGAGCTGGCTTCGGGTGTAGTGGACGGCCTGGGCGTGTATGATATCAGGCTGTTGTCCGATTGTGTGAGCGATAATGCGAATTCGTGGACGCTTGCGACCCGTCGCTGACGTCTTCACAGTGGACGGTATGCGCGATGATGCAGGCAAGCTTGCGCTTTCCTACACTGAGCCCCAAAACCACGGTGTTCCACATCCGCGTGTCTCTCGCCCAGACGCATACCATCACATCTCCTCGTGACGACCCAGCTGTGGCCAGGCCGACCACTTTGACACGAACGTTCCCCGTCATCGAGGAAGGGAGCAGGCCCCCGGCAGGACACGTACACCCCAGCGCGGAGCTCTCGGCGATCTGGAGAGGCGTCGAGGCGGCGGGCAAGGATGAGGGGGAGCTGAAAGTCGATGCAAGCGGGAGACTGCCGAACGACGACCATGCAAGGCCAAGCACACCGCCGATGTGAGTTGCGCGCGGTCTTGAATCGGACTGGGCTGAGTTGGCAGGACGATCACACCGGTCAAGGTGACTCATGCGCTTGTTACTGAGGTGTACTTCTCGGTGTACGGGGAGGATCAGTCGGGCAAGCCGATGCTCCGGCCTGGCAACGGGGGTCTGCGAGTGCTAAAAGTGAAGAAGGAAGTGGTTCTGCCTTCGGTACGTGGTGTCAATGACATCGTCGTATTCAAGCTGATTCATCCAGTGCGCCTTCATCCCACAAAACGTCGAGTTGCCATCGTGTATGTCTCCTCATGTTGACATGACCTATCCCGTACTTATCGCGCAGATGAGCAAACCCTCTCCCCCGACGGCTGCCCTCATCAAGCTCCCGAGTACAGCGGCTCCCGAAAGCTCCACGCTGGCTGGGAAGCCGATGCCGAGGTCTCCAAAGGCAAAGGGCCAAAAGACTGCCCGCTCTGCCTGGCACATATACTGCCCCGGGGCACACCGGGGTGGAAGAACTGCGCGTGCGGACAAAAGCTGGAGAACATGGAAGAGAGGATCCGGAGGATGGACGAGGAGGATAGGAGGGCGAGGTGGGAGAGGGAGCTGAGTCTGGGGAACAAGGAGATGGCAGAGAGAGGAAGGCAGCGGACGGTGGAATGAGTCGAGCGGTGAGGTGCGGCAGGGTTCATAGGGGAAGGTTAAGGTGCTCTCGACCACACAATGTCGTCATGAAACGCTACGTTGTAGCTTCACACATCACACCACCTCTGTGCGTGCGGTGCTGTGCAGTCGCGCCGTCGCAGGTGCATCCTCGTCGCAGTGTCGGAGAGATGAACGGGCCTGCGTATGTCGCGTGATGGTTGCCTCTGCCTGATTGGGCGCGGCTCGCCAACAAGAGCTAGAAGCGCCGAACACCTTGCCGACCCTCTCAATCACGACCACCGCTATTCCTGAACCGGTTCGCGGCAATGCAACGTGGCTGTGGAACACCCAATTGAATCCCTTGGCGCGGCGACCTGCACTACGGCTCTGAGGAACGAGGGAAACGAGGGGATCGATGCGATGGTGATCCCGGGACCCGTCTTTGCCGGTGGTAGTCGAAGCGAAGGCTTAACTTTTGCTCGTACCGTGGCATAGTCAGGTACGCAGGGAAAGGTGAAGGTCCCAAACCGCAGCCCTGGGCGTTGGCGTAGGCGTTGGCCTGGTGCTTCGGCAGTTCGACTCGAGACGACCGTAGACCATACCATACCACAACGGTGATCGCGTGCTCCAAGTTTCATGTCGAGACGCAACCCTCAAGTGGCTGTTGAGCAGGTACAGCCTGTACGGAGTCACGGACAGCATTGCGGGCTGATGGACACACATGCCGCATGTCAGAATCGTTCGGGCCTCGCCGTCTTCGGAGGACTCCTTTCCGACGTCGCTATGTCCTTTGCATCCAGATCCTGCATCTGCACCTGCACCTGCTCCTGCTCATCCTTTCGCCCAGAGCCATCTTCCTGCGTGATCACCTCTGACATCGTTCACGCTGCACGCCTGATTGCTCGTAATCGAAAGTAAAAGTAAAAGCAGACGACTCCAGACTGATCCCGTCTTGGCGCGCGCGGCCGACGCGTCCAAAAGCCAAACTCAACAATACCACAATCCGACCCACTCGTCTTCTCTTACCATCTCCTTCCATTCCTTGTGTACCTTCTCGTCATTACCCCGCTCGACCAGCTCGTACCACACCATGCAGCTGATCGACCCGAGGGAGCTGCACGACCTCGCGGCGTTGGCATCTCGAGGCGGCCTGGGCCATGGCGTAGCGTAAGCACCGGCACTCTCAACCACTGGCACTGGCACCTGCATTCGCTCTCTTCGTAACCAAAGGACCATGGCTGACCGTTGTTCCCTGCTCAGGCTCACCGACTGCGTTGCCGAGGAACCAGACCAGCTCATGTACATCAAGGGCGACGAGCTGGTGCTTCTTCGCGATCTGGGCAGTGTCCTACTTGCGTCCTGCGAGGGAGTCGTCGGCTGGGTTCAGCGGGAAAACGTCCGATTCGATTCACTTGCCAGTACAAGCCGGCCCGCCTCGCCTTCTCTCCCCTCGACGGATCTTCCACAAACAGTACTCACAGCGCCTTCACCTCCAGCCGCATCCGAGCCATTGCCCGAGACTCGGACCGAGAACACGACCACGCCCAAACCCCAGGCTATCCTCACGACCGCCCCGAGATTGTCCAAGCGCGAGTCAGGTCCTTTCGAGCTCGAAACGCCCGAGCCGACTCCCGGGATCGAGCAATCGCGGCAAAGATTCGCTCCGTTTCAAGCTGCCAAGGCAGAGGAGGCAAAGGTGGAGAAAGCGAAGACGGATAATGCCAAGCGGGACTCTGTCACCTCGATCGCGAGCAGCGCACTGGGAGGAATCGGAGGGTTCATGATGGGTGGAGAGGCGAGTGAGGAAGGTCATGTGGCTTTTGGTGCAGCCGACGACAGCATTGAGCATCTGGAAGGTACATACGCGTCTGAAACTGTCACGCTGTGGCTGACAAAAGCGCTCATTGCAGATGAACCCGACTTTGATTTCGGTTCGCCCATCCGATCTCACCGCGACCTCTCCTTTGCCGACTCGCACCGCGCCTCGACACTCAGCAACCAGAGCGATTGGGACATCTACGGCGACTACGCCAGGGAGAGCATGTACGTCCCGTCCTCGTCGAGGGGAGCCACGGCAGCGAAGCACGCCAGCAGAGCGAGCAAGGCCCCGAGCATGGCTTGGAGGGAATCGGGGGCGTGGAGCTCGGACGGCGAGTCCGGGGACTTTGAGGCGGCAAGAGCGGCGTTGGAGAGGGTCGCGGCGAAGAGGTTGGCGAGGGGCGCGGAATGGGATCGGGATGAGGACGACGGGCAAGTGCGGGATGAGCGCAAGTCGGCAGCGGATCCGAGCGGGGATGAGGTCGCGGGGATTCAGCAGGAGTTCAAGGTGCTGGAGACCCGCGACGCCCGGGAAAGTGACAAGGTGCGGGAGGATCTCTCGGTGACGGAGAATCACTCGGTGAAGGGACCCCACTCGGGGATGGAGACATACTCGAAGCCGGCAGAGGCGGACGAGAACACATCGAAGCCCGATGCCGTGGTGAAACTGGTGCTGCCCGAGATGAGCGCAATCCACACGGAGGACAAGGTCGAGCCGGCTCAGTCCGTGGCTACGCCCCCACCTCGGCCACAGCGTCGTCGACCGCTCGCAATGGATCTGAGCAAAAGCGTCTCGGACCTCCGAATCGATTCGACCTCGTCGTCGCCCGTCGTCCCCGAGA